CTCCTCCCTGGGGGACAGACAACCAAAAAGTGGATGAAGGGAGACGTCGGCAGGGCAAAATAGGACAAAATAATAATTTATAAATCATCACAGGCTCATGAGGGAGGGGAGATCGGAGAGAGTGAAGAAACAATGAGGAACTGATGCCAGGGGCTTAAGTGGAGAGCAAATGTTTAGCGAATGATGAGGGCAATGAATGTACAAATGTGCTTTACACAATTGATGTATGTATGGATTGTGATAAGAGTTGTATAGCCCCTAATAAAAGGATTTTTTAAAAAGAACCTAAAAATAACAACAACGGGAAACTCATGTCAGGAAAGATGACCAAGGCTTCAAAGAATTAGGAGGCCAATATCCGGCGGGGGAGGTGTCTGTGAGTGTGTCTCTGAGTGTGTGTGTGTGTGTGTGTGTGTGTGTTGCAGTGGGGGTGGAGTGGGTTCCAAGTGTGTGAGTTCTCATGCAGGAGGAGGGTGGTCAGAACGTCAGCAGGTGACCCAGGCCCCTCAGGAATGAAGATCTGCGTCACCCCACCAGGCAAAAATCACAGCCAGCTGAGGTCCTTGCTGAGGGCAAACGTAATACAGAATGGGTAGTAGAAGAACTTAGCTCTACCTATCAGTTATGAACACATGATCAATAGCACAAGCCAGGTTTGTAATTGTCAGTGTATATTCTTTATATGTGCTTATTGAATACCTTTCCTTTGTTCATGTATGATATATCAGATACAATTGGACTCACTGTGTTATCATTTATATGTATGAGAGAGGTATGATGATAAGGATAAGTGTGATTTCATTAATATAGGGAAATTATATATGGCTAAAGAATTGTGTACAGGTGCCAAGTTGGCAAGGAGTGGATTGAGGTAGTTAGTTTATTGTGGCAACCTGGCCGGTAAACACATGTGGGATTAATTGAAGGGCAGAGAGATAAATGGCTTGGTGAGCCTTGCCTTTTCTGCCTCTTGCTCGTTTACTATGGGACCCATGTGCGGCTGCCTTGCTTGTTCGGTACCTCAATTTACAAGTTACACTACCTGTGGGACACCTAACCCATGGACTTTGTCGCTGTAATTAAAGGTTCCTTCAAGACCTGCTTCTCTACATCATTGGAATTTACATCTATTGAGCTGGGGACTGTCAAACCCTGTCATTGGCGTGATTGTTGGGGACCTTGCCTTGCTTTTTGCTACCTGTGGCCAAGTAGCCAGAATTTCTCTACAGAGGACTACCCAGTGGCCCTCCAGACTTAAAGGACTGCCAGTGTCTCACAACTGTCTCACGGGAGGGAGTTGCACTGAGCCATTTGTACTGCTTTATAATTTAATTAACTGTTTATTTCTTATGTTATACATCTATCTATCTGTATAAATATATATATATATAATTATTAGCATTTTGGTTCTGATACTCTAAAGAACCCTGTATAACAGAGCAGGATAAGCTGATCAGAAAACGACATAATCTTAAAGCAGCCTGACATGCGCTGTGAGGACAAGGATGGACGGTGAAGACCTGTGAAGACTAACCTGGGGGAAAGAGTGGGAGGAGATCGCTGGCAGTGAACGCAAGTGCTGCCCCATCAGAAGGGTTTCCAAGTCTTAAAACCAGGGTCCCCCAGGGTAGAGGTCCCACTGGGATGCCTGTTTTCTTTCTGCATCTTCAATGTCTGGCACAAGGACCTGGCTCAGAGTGGAGCATCCATGTCTTCTTCCTGCCCCTTCATCTGGTGGCTGGATAGTAACACTCTTGTGCCTTAATGACCTCCATTAAAGCGTTGGCCTAAATGAAGTCACAATTGCTGGGTTCACCAATGTCACTGGGACGCCAGGACTAGATCAGGAACTGGTCTTCACCTTTGCCTTGGCATCCCCATTCCCAGATGGTGTCCTGGACCTTGACAGACAACATGTGAGATCGCACTGATGATGCCTGTTCACTCGGACTCAAACATGACACACAGAAACAGAGGCCAGGCCTCTCATGCTCAGGACACTGTTGTCCACGCAATTCAGAAAAGCGGCACAGAGAGTAAGCGTCCATCTGGACTCAAACACATAGTCTAGCGTGCTCACTGTCCAAGTACCCTGAGCTGTGGAACCAGTTAACTTCAGGTGCAGGGAATGGAAGGCAACCACTAGGCCTAATAGAAGAGGAGAGTTCTAATCTGGTCTCAAGACACTGGTACAGCCCTCTAGAAGTGATCTTCTCAGGGAAGACCTTTGGTATCTAGTGGATAATCCATAAAGCAATGAACCAGCAACCATCTGTTCTGTCCAAGGATAAACACCCCCAAAGAAAACGAGCAACAAGGCAAGTGTGAGTGGAAGGAGACACTTTATTGCTGTTGGAGCTTGGCAGGCCTCTGGGCTGCACCAGGCTCACTGGATTTCCCCGGAACAAGGCGGTGCTCCGTGGCTCTGGTCGTGGTAGTCTGTGCCGATATCTCCCAGAGTGGAAAGAAACTCAGAAAACTGAATCTTCTTATCCCCATTCTTATCCTTCTTCTCAAACAAGTTGGCCAAGTAATCTCTCTTCCTTTTCTCCTGGGCAAAGAAAAAGGTGCAAACAAGGGAAAGCCTGTTACCTGTGAGATTTGGGTTGCGAATGGCAGAAATGCCTTGGAGGGGTGAGGGGGAGGATGTGACCATGGCATAGGAATCCGTGAGAGAGGAGGGTGGTTGCTCCCTACAGATCCCTCAACCCCACAGCCCCCAGATAGGAAGCAGGAGCATGCTGAGCAGTTTCTGCAGGAGCCATACCACTAAGGGAGGCAGGGGTCCTCATCCCACCAGGCACCATCTGCATTCCTCTGAGGTCCCATTTCTCCCTCCTTTCTCTCTTCCTTCCCACCCTGCCACACGAGTTCTGGGTTTCCTATCCTTGGGGTCCAGGTTTTTAGACTTTTTACCAGGAAGTCCCACACACTCGACAAGAAACCCCAGTGTGAGAATAATGCTGGCCAAATGCAAAGGCTTATGTCCACGTGTTCTATGTTATCTTTTCTATTGCCCTGCAGCTTAAGAAGGTCCCACTGAGCCCATAGGAACCAGTGAAGGGGAGGGAGACTCTGAGGCACATGGGTGGAGGTGACTGCAGTCAAAGCTAGCCCATGATAGACTTTCAAATGAAACCACTCCGCTGCTAAGAGCCTTTTATATCTGTATCACATTTGTCCGCTTACAAATCATGTCCCATTTAAGACATCTTCCCCTTGCTCTGGATACTGGCCCAGGGACATAAGATCTAGCTTGCCTTTTTAACAGAGGAAGACATTCAGAGTGTATGTGCGACTTGCCCAGGTCACACAGTAAGGAGCTGCAAATAGTAGAAGGAGAGCCCAGGGCTTCTGACTCTCAGCTTGAGACTCTGTTCATCAGAGCATCTTCTGTACTTGGGGTGGCCCTAGGATGGGTTGGGGTGTGCAGTACAGTGTGACCCGGGGTAGACAGCTGGGATGCACGGCTAGATTCAGGATCAGAAACCCACAGGTGATCCAGCTTAAGGCCCAACATTGGGCATCCAGCCCACTCACACAGTCGCTGAGGAAGTTGGGGAAATTCTCCTTCATCATTGTCAGCAGGCCAGGCTTATCGATTGTGTCATCCTGTCCAGTGTATCTGTGAAACAGGTCGATCATGCCCATGATGGACTTCTCAGCT